AACTTGGGCCCAGGCCCGGCGCTACCATATAGACAGTGAGAGAGCTGCACTCGCAGCCCTTCCTCTCAGCTGTCACAGGAGTTCTAGCACAGTGCTGTGCTAGAACTCCTGTATTGGAGATAACAGGTTCAATAAAGAGAACCTGTCGCCTCCAAATGCTATCACACAAGGGCTTGTTAGCTAGCTCCTGTGTGATGGCAATAAAGTTAAGTGAAAAAAATTAAAAATTAAATTAAAAAAAATACAAATTGATTTAATTCTAAAATAAGTAAAAAAATAATAATGAAAATGAGAAAAAGTAAAAAAGTAAGATTAAAAAATAATTAGAAAAAAATTCTAACAAATAAAGTGAAAGAGAATCAGATAAATAAAAATTTTAAAAAGTAAAGAAATAAATTAAAACTTGCCTACTATAAAGTGACTGACAGTATACTGGATAAGTTTTATAAGTAAACTAACTCTACGTTTTTCTTACAGTTTAGAAAAAAAACAACTTACGTCCGTGCTAAAAGTAGTTGGATCTGTATGTGCATTATAATCGATGGGGAAAAAAATTTGATTAATCTTAATCAGTACCAGCCCTATTCTTTAGTCATCTATAAGTGTGCATTCTTCCCAATGACCTCCAGTGTAGAGGGGGGGTCGGGGCTTCTCCCGATGACCACCAATGTAAGATGGACTTCCTCTCACTGACCATCGATGTAATGGGAGCATTTACTGGCCACAGATGTAAGGGGATGCTTCACTGACCACCGATGTAAGGGAATACTACAATCTTAACTACTTGCATTTCTTTTCTGCCCTTCGTTATTTTCTTTTTTTTTTTATTCTGTTACTGAAAACAATTGTCCTTTTTGAGTAGGTGTCAAATTTATTTCATATTATTTAACTTGCTGTTTATGCTAATGTACTGTGAGCTGTAAATATAGTAATTATTTCCAGGATTCCCTGAGACCTGAAGGTTATTTCCAAGGGTTCCTTCATGTTTAAAAGTAAGGATTGAGAATGGCTGTTCTAGAATTTAGCATGCATTCCTTGCAAGTAAGCATTCAAAAACCATGAGTCCCTTTCCTTGAACCCTGTTTAATCAAGGTTTTCTTTTCTCCCACCCCCCCCCTCCGTATTATTGTTTAATCCCTTTATGCTGCCATTACTAGGAACAGAAAGTGGAAAATATAAAAATTATAGGTAAGCCTCTTAAATCCGTATAAAATTAGATGTATGCTACTTTAGTTGCCAGAAGCTAAGTAAAAGCTGCGTCAATTGACGTCCTGTAGTAGAAAGCTTAGTGCTTTTGGTGTGTGTGTGTGGGAGTCACTTTTATGGGTAGTACATTTCTGTTCTTTTGAGATGAGTTTAATTGGGGGAATCCTCTTATTTCTGTCTTCATAAAACATAGTTCTAAAGTTCTTTTTGTTGTGGCAATTTTTTGCATTCTCAAGAGCTTGCACATTTAGTCATTTTATGAGGGTGTGTGCTGAGAATCTATTTAACTTGTAATTTTAATCTTCTTTGCATAAACAAAGACTGGCTCTCTTATGAGTGCTATGCGGCATCTCTTCTAGCTTTCAGAAGGTTGCAGGATAAAGGCTTTAAGCTGGCTATACACTATGCGAATTTCGGCCAGTTCTTGATGAACTTCCCTCGATCAGCAGATTGAAGGAGCCGATTGGAAAATCTTCAATCAGAGGCGGCAGCCCATGAGTTGCGGGCTCTGTTGGGTATTCTGACAGCAGCTGGTGGACACCATCAGCATACAGCGAAGGCAGCGGGAGATTCCTCAGTCCATGTTCATAGCATTGTTGGAGGAAACTGTTATATTTTCTTTGTAATATTTTCTTTGTTCAACCTGCGGGCTAAACAGTGTACGGGCAGCTTTATCCCAGGAGTAATCAAACGATGTGGAATTTAGGAGCCAGTCTGTTCTCTCCAGGAGCCAGCCAATTTGATTTTTAGGATCCAGATCTATTGACAACTAAAGAAAACTTAAAAACTTAGGTGCCAGCTGTAATTTGTTAGCTGCAGAATGTAAATAAACAATGGTAGCTGAACCCGCCCAAACTCTGTAAGTATGCATCTGTGCAAGGGGAGGGTAGGATTGATTAGGTTAGCTTAAATGGGCCAAAGTGATAAGTGCACTTATTCTTTAAATCTTAAGTTAAATAAAAACTATTTGTTGTGGATACAGCACCAGGAATAACTTACCTCTAATGATGTGCATTCCATGTCCTGCTGCTCAGTGTAGAAATTTACCCTGCACTGACACCAGATGCTCCCTACAGTGGCGATATTCCAGCAATGGGGAGTTGGGATCAGAGGCTGTCACCATGAAGCGTCGGCGTTGCTTGCTCTTCTTTTTTGTTTCCCATCTACAGAACTTGTAGTATTCTTTTCCAGAATGCACTCTTTGATTGGAGGAAGGGTGGATGAATGACAGCGTTCACCTCCTCCAATCACAGAGGGCATTGCATTCTGGAAAAGAATACTACAAGTTCTGGGAATAGGTGGGTGAGGAGGAAGTGAGTGCCAGGAGAAACCGATGCTGCACAGTGGCAGCCACTGATCTTATCCCTCGCAGTGCCAGAAGATCACTGCTGTGGGATGGGTATCTACAGTAAGCAGGACATGGAACACACTTCATTAGAGGTAAGTTATATCCCTGGTGCTGCATCCTACAGGGGATGAATTTTGATCGCCCCTGTGTTTGTTGTAAAGTAGTCACTGCTCCAAGCTCGCTCCCATTATGGACTACAATCTCAATATAAATTGTTAAACTAAAAATGAGATTGTAGTCCATCACAGGAGCGAGCTTGGAGCAGTGACTACTTTACAACACACACAGGGACCATGGGGAACAAAAGTAGCCCCCCTCCAGAAGGAAGGACAGTGTCGGCACTAATTCAGAGAAGATTTGAGGACCTTCAGCCAAGTGATGCACAAATAAGTTACATGATTGTCAATAGTTAGGGTACTTCAATGCATTTTTAAGATTTCACTCCTGAGTTAATTTTTATTTTAACATGAATAATTGGGGTTTGTATGTATTTTTGTCGTTGGTTCACATTTGACAGAAATTGTACTTGTGGAATAGACTTTAACATACCTGTGTTAAGTACAAATTATTGTGACTTAAGGTAATTAATTAGATTTCATTTTATTCTAGTCTGAAAGATTAATGCTTATTATTTTGGGATATTGAATTATTGCTCATTGCTTTTATCTTAAATCAAACCTGTTACTCATCTGGACAATTCAGACTGATTATATAAGGAATAGGTACATAAGCAGAAGATCTCTTTTATTGAAAGCTACATATCAGTAGACTGCGGTATATGGAGAACGTTATATGCAATTCTAACTGCTTACACTCCTGGATCTGGTGGTTCTTTTAATTGGTGGTTTGCACTGCATGTTACATCCCGCCTATTTTTTTTCCAGTCTGAGTTGCCATTTGTTTTACAGGTTTATTTCTAAAAAAATTATTTAAGACTGATATTTTGATGAATTTCATTTCAGTAGATTTGTTTGTTTTTTTGCCTATTGCTGAGAAATTATTTCACCCAGTACTAGTACTTCCATGTGTAGCAGACTTGGATGGATATGCAGATCTGATCCAACCTACTAATTTTATTTTATTTTTTAAATCAAGGTTCATACATAAATTATTGTATTATCTGAACCTACAAATAATGCTTGTTTATATCTGGGTGGTGTAGTTTCTCCTAACTGCTGTCTTTAGCCTATGACTTGGAGGAAATTGTGGCAGTCGTCCAAAGAATATCTATCATGGCCAGTCACTGTTTCCCCCAAGATTGGTTTGTAGGGGGTGGTGTGATGGTGTCTAGGTGAAGTCTCTAGGTGACCACATATATAAGAATCGTCTGTCTGAAGTCATCAGAATTTGGCAGGAAAAAAAAAATGTTAATTCTTTTAACACAATAAAATTAGCGTGTAGGCATACACAAAATGCTGCTAATGTGCAACAGTCTGCCATGTGGCTTGATTCAAATATCTGATTTGAACTAGGCAATTTAAAAGCCTTAACCTCATGTACCTCATGGGTAGAGCCTTGACTGAGGGATAATGCACCTCAAGGCTATGGCCTTGGCTGAGGGATCATGCACCTCTTTGGTGAGGCCTTGACGTGAGGGATAATGCACCTCATTAGTGGAGCCTTGAAATGAGGTATAATGTACCTCATGGGTATAGCCTTGACTGAGGGATAATGCACCTCATGGGTATAGCCTTGACTGAGGGATAATGCACCTCATGGGTAGAGCTTTGACTAAGGCATTATGCACCTAATTAGTGGAGGCTTGACATGAGGGATAATGTACCTCCCAAGGGTATAGCCTTGACTGAGGGATAATGCACCTCATTGGTGAAGCCTTGACTAAGGCATAATGCACCTCATTGGTGGAGCCTTGACGTGAGGGATAATGTACCTCCCAAGGGTATAGCCTTGACTGAGGGATAATGCACCTCATTGGTGAAGCCTTGACTAAGGCATAATGCACCTCATTGGTGGAGCCTTGACGTGAGGGATAATGTACCTCAAGGGTATAGCCATGACTGAGGGATGTTGTAGTATGCGAACAGACCGCACTATCCACAGAATTCCAATACTTCAGCATTTATTGAAATTCACAGCAAATCCAGTGTAACTGTGAATAAAAGTGTATAAAGCAGCAAATACCAGCACTGCAAACTCCCAACCAGCTACAACCTCATGTTTCACCTGTAGGCTTATTCATAGCATGGTTATAGCCTTGGCTGAGTGATCATGCACCTCATTGGTGGAGCCTCGACTAAGCTTTACATATATAAAATTACCTCTTTGTATGTTTTCTCCAAACAATACCACTGAAATGTTACATATGACATAGAGTACTATCTCTGAAAACAGTTTGACAGCCTTGGGCAGTTAATGCAAACTAATGATTGATCTGTGTATCACATTTTTATAATACCGCCACTGTTTGTTCTTGTGTCATTTATAGGAGAGCTCACACTTTAACAGTGCTTTTTATCCTGACGTGCTCCTTGGTATACGTCACATTACTTGAAGAGACTCCCCAAGACACAGCCTACAATACAAAAAGGTATCCAATTTCTTTACCATTCTCTTCTACAAAGGACCACCAATCCTCCAGATACAAGATGTTTTAATTTTATACAGCGATGAATACCAATTGTAAAGAATAATGCACCTTTAAAGAAGAGCTGTACTATGGAAGATGTGCCCAGAAATAGCAATTAAAGGGATTAGCCATCAGTATTGCCTGTTGTCTTTTTGCAGCTGGTCTTTTCTCCATTGCTGACTTACCGTTTGATGTTTCTCACTGTGCCTCTTTGTGAAGGTGGACCTTTTGGTAGAGGAGGAGAGCTTTGTTTAATGTCAGAGATGCCCACCTGATGACTGGTGAAGTAATATTCAAAAAGCATCCGGAGAGGTGCAGGAATCACAGATCCACAGAATTAGGCAGAAGCGCTATACCATATTAATTCCTATAGGTGAGCCATATTCCAGCCGTCCACTGGAATATGGCTCACCTATAGGAATGAATAGGCCAAACCAATCCTGCGCTGTGCTCTTCCCTCTCTGGCGCTTCCATCTTCCTCCCGGTCCTCTTCTGGATTTTGATTCTTCTGCCATAGAAAGCTGGCCAATCAGCAATTATTCTTTTTTTTTTACCTTCCACTTTAACAGAGCAGCACCAACTCCCCTTTGCCTGAACATAGGCATGCTGTTCTTGAGGAATTGCAAGGTGCTTTCAAACCAGTTGGCGAATTCAGGCTTTACTGTATATAGCAGTTTTATTTACATGTTCTGCAAATCCTTTTTGTGAAAACAGACTAGTTATAGTCTTCAGTCATGCACATAACCAGTCTTTGGCACGCCAAGTATAGATGGTTCCAACTCTCTTGGCGGTAAAAGTTCCATTGTCTCTGGGAGCTAGGAGAAAGGCGTCTCAAGGTATTAACCGTTGTAGCATATTATGATTTAGCATAGAGCTCAGGGATTATCTTTTGTGTAACCTGTCATGGTAATTAAGCCATGACTTTGTATCCTGCTTCACCTTCAGTGAGGCTAGAAAAAAAACAAAAACCTTTATGTACACAGGAAGTTTACTCTACATTTGCATTGTTTACAGCATGCATGCTTTCTCTTACTGTAGTTGCCTTTACTAAGAATTTATAGTAACCTTCCTAGAAGTGAATGGACTTAAATCTGTAATTTCTGCACAACAAAGCCAGGTACTAATGTTTTTTTTATTGTTCTTTGAAGCAATCCTGGCCAACTTTATTTTACTTGGTTTATACATTTCAAGTTTTGTTTGTTTTTACACACACACACACACACACACCATTTTTACAAATATATATTTTACAGTGTACACGACATTAGAATCACAGGAAATTATAGTATAACTTTGGTCTCCATTTTTCTCATTGAAATTCTGACTCATTCAGCATGTAGAAGTATTGTAGCTTGAGCTATTGAGTTCTGTAAAGAGGCCTATTTCTGCCGAGTAGACGAGGATTGTCTAAAAAAAAAAAAAAAATAGTCCAGAGGATTGCCCGCTGACTGAAAATTAAAATACATAATACTTCAATATTGACAAAGTGTATGCAAAACCACTTTTTTAAAGTTTTTTCCGATTGGGAAGATTTCCCTTCACTTCCTGTCCTACAGGTCCAACAGGAAGTACTTTCAGATCTCTCCAAAGCCAGGGGAAGGCAATTACTTGATAGTTCTCACACTCCCCTCCTGTTCCAGTGCCAATGCTTACATTGTAGTTTTCCATCACCTTCTGTATAGGAGACGATGGTCACTAGGACAAATGGGGAAGGTGAATCTCCCCAACCGGTACACATACATCAATAGATCCTGACGGGGGTTCTAACACCTCATTAGTCTATACAAAACGAAACAATTTTGGCTTTACATATACTTAATAAAAAATGTAGACATTCTATATTCTATAAAATATTTTCCTCAAAACGTGCAGTTTCACTTTAAAGCCCAAATGAACCCTCTTAAAGGAGAATTGTGACCTAAGGGCAAATAAAAGTACTTATTGCCTTTTCCTCTAATAGCATTCTTCTTCTTTTCCAAAGTCGCAGCACATCCCAGATAAATTAATCACATCACAGAAAACAGTCACCTGCAGCCATGCTCCAAGCTCCTTTCCTCTTAGGGGGCGTTAACAAGGAATGCAGCCCCGCCCTCAGCTTTTTTTTTTTCTATCTGCCGTGGCCGCGCTTTCTCTAGTCAAGCACACTGTGTACGGCTGGAGGGCGCACGCTGACATGTAGGAGGCAGAGTCTGAACTGTGAGAAGCAGCAAGCTGACTCAGCCTCCCTTCTCTTTGCCTCTCTCTTCACCGATCTTCCCCTGCTCTGTCTCAGTAATCAGATGCTTGCAGCAGATGTATGAAAACCTGTTCCCCGTAAATCTTAGTTCCCCCTGACCAGCTATTACCAAGCTCCGGTTTTCTATGAGAAAGAGACGAATGTCTCCTCTCACATTGTGTGCTCTGATCGTTCATAGAACACCGGAGCTTGCAAAGAGGGGCGGGGCAATGTAAATATTGAGCAGCTGTTAGGAAGGGGTGGGGTTATGGTAATAGCTGAACGGTCAGGGGAAACTAAGATTTACGGGGAACAGGTTTCCATACAACTGCTGCACATTTTCAAGACAGAGAGAGGAAGGAGGGGCGAAGGCACTGAGGAGAAACTGTCTTCCATGCACGCGCTGTCATTTGCTGGCACAGACAACGGGGACGTGGAGGTAGGAAGAGAGCTGCTGCGCATGCCCGTGTATTCGTGGACGTGCAGCAGTTCTCAAGGAACGCCGCCAGTCACAGTGAGAACGATCAGTTGGGAGGATCCTGACAGGATCTCTCCCCACTGCGGCACTTAGCCCCGCCCACCATCTTAAAGTAACGATTGTATGTTTAGGGTGCATTTTGGATTATAGGAGTAAATTGCAAAATGTATTCCTATAGCCCATGGAATCCAAAAGTAAAGAAAAGCTTGGACCCCATAGTTCTCCTTTTAATGTATTATTGCATTGCAGTCAGATACTACAAAAGTGTCTTTTGCTTTTACTGTATATGCAGCCTGTGCAGCAGCAGGGGGTTTAAAAGAAAACCCTATACTAGCAGCACTAAGAGTCGGACTGCAGTGTTCACACACAAGCAGCGGCCCAGCTCTCCTGCGGACAACAATGCCTACTGAACACTGCTCTAATCAACATTGTTCTTTCTCCCGAAGCAGTGCTGTTGATTAGACCAGTGTATAGGGGAGTCCGATAGCTGACCTGCTGCTTGTGTGTAAGAGCAGCATTCATACTTTCTTTCATGTTGCTTGAACAGTGTTTTTATCCCTTGCTGCAGATCAGATTTATTACTGTATATGCAGCCTGGATGCATTACATTTAATAAACAGACGCGTCAACTGGCCATTTAAATTCCCTGCAAGCTCCTGCATTGGTTTCTGAAAGTTTTTTTGTTTTTTTTTCCACTTCAGTGTCTTCTCAACTAGCTTCCATCTTGGCAAAGATATATCCAGATATAGGAATCATTAATAAACAGATCAGTTTTTAACTGCACACGTGACATTTTGCATTCCTAATTCATGATAAGTTGAGTCCTGAGATTTCCTGTTTGTTCCTTGTTTTATGAGAGCGTGAGGAAGTTTACAAGTGGCTGTCCTCTTATCAGCCCTTCCTGTCCTGCTGCACTTAGTTCTTGTCTTCAAACTTCCTTTAAACTCCATAATGAAGGATTTTCTGTTATGGCAGCAAGTTGGTCAAATATGTTTTGGGGAAAGTTAATCTATGCCACTTCTACATAAAAAAATAAAAAGTCTTGTAGGTCAAAATGGATATTGCAAAAACAAACTGGGGAAAAAAAGTGGATGATCATAGCGAAAAACCGCTTGCCGACATTTTTGTAATCTCTAAACAGCCATTGGTCTACACTGCAATATTTGCTTAGGCCTGGCTCACATCTGAGCGTTTATATATGTGCGTGGAAATGCGCAAAACACAAAAAGCAATACATTCTTATGGGGCTCATTCAGACCTGTGCGTTCATACGCGTGCACAAAAACACGTAACATGGCAAAAAGTGCATGCACTATTTTCTGGGCAGTTTCTGCATGTTCTGACTGGGGTTGTAAAACAAATGACAAACGCACTCATCAATTTGTTACCAGCTTTACAGCAAGGTGCACATGGAAGGGCTTTATACAGTAAAAGCATAAAAGCTTGTCTCACCGCTAAGGTTAAAAACAGAGGTTTAGATACACGTTGTGACGGACCCCCGTACTCAGGATGAGTATGTCCGCCGCTGTCTTCTTCCTTGCTGAGGAGATATTGGAACCTGAAGATCCTTAGCTCCCAGTTTCCCCAGTCACTAGCCAAGGCTTGAGTGTAGGTGAAACAAACTCTGCTTTATTGAGCAACTGCACAAACTTTTATACAGCAAGTGATGAAATCAGAATATAATCCCATCACATCCACCCTCCCCTCCCAGACAATCGGTCTGCTCAACACCACAGGTGTCCACCTGCTAACGAGCTCCAGACAGCCATAGCAAAGCCTGGCCAGAATGTCATTGTTCTGAGCTCCCTCAGAGAACAATGGGAGATAACGAGGGATGGTGCTGATGGTCTTTCCATAACCAGGTCACACAGCATAACGCACTCAAACACAACTCGACACCAATACACATTTAACTTATAAACTGATCACCATGTCGTCACACACGTCTTCTGCAGAAAATGGGAAAGGCACCTCCTATATAGTGCGGTCCTAACTCTAAACTATGAGAGTCTTCATCTTGGAGCACATGTGGCAAAAGATCAAATTGGGTGCAGGTTTGTCAGGAGGAAGCCCAACCTCCCATAAAGGCACAGGAGCGCACAAGGGACCCGGCACATCACAACGGCAGCTGAGACCCCCCATGCGTCACTGCACCAAATCAGTCAAGCAAAACAAATGGCAAACGCACTCATCAATTTGTTGCCAGCTTTACAGCAAGGTCACATGGAAGGGCCTAATACAGTAAAAGCAAAAAGTTGTAGCCGCAGTTGTAGACTGGGGTTGTAGTCGCAAATGCGCGTCTAATAATTGTGCAGTTTTCTCTGCGTGTACAACCGCGTGCAAAAGGAGCTGTATTCCAAATGCTCAGGTGTAACTGGTACCTTACACTTGCCTATTGTGTAAGCTTATCTTCTGGAGACATTCATAGTGTTGATAGTTCAACATGGATGTAACAAAAACGTTTAAGGATGCTACATTGTGTGTCCTTGGTTACTTTTGGAACATAGGAATCGATCCTTCCCTTGACATCGAACAGTTCACACTTGAAACCTCACATCCTAAAAATGGGTGTGCATGCACTGAGCAAGGAGCATGTAGAAAATGGCACTGGAGCTTGAAATAAGTTGTGCAACATTTTTAGAAAAAAGTCTCAAATATTGCAATAAAAAATATCGAGCTGGACTTTTAATTCCGGGGTGTGTGTGTCGCATTCATTGCCTTAGTTATTCTCTTGTGTGTGTATATATAGATTCTTGCAAAGAAAATTGTGCACAGGGGAGAATTTGCAGGATTTACTTACCACAATGTGAGAAATGTGAATTATTGTGTCTGTTGACAGTACATTGTCATCTGTAGATTGATTTATTTTCCTGTCCTGCCAAGATGACAAACTCTTGAGGTGGAATTGTGCTTTAAATATTTGGGTAAAAATGCAACAGTACAAGCTATTTCAGAATCCTCTATGACCTAGAGAGCACGACGCTTTACTCACTTTTCTTGTATTGTTAATGTTTGTCAGCTAGGAGTCTCATGAATGCACAAGCTTGGCGAGTAGACGCAAAGGTCACAATGTATTTTCCAGCACAAAGAAACAAGTTCCATTACTCACTTGTATTTCTAGGTTGTCTGCATCCATAACGAACAGTATTTACTTGTTTTTAAAAATGTTGAAAACAAAATTTTGCCTCATCAGGCAATTTAAAAAAAAAAACACAGGGACCATGGGGAACAAAAGTAGCCGCCCTCCAGAAGGAAGGACAGTATCTGCACCAATTCAGAGATGATTTGAGGATCTACAGCCGATTGATCCACAAATAAGATACGTTTTTGTTAATGGTTAAGCTGCTTGAATGCATTTATAAAATGTAACCCCTGAGTTTAGTGTCACTTTAAAATATTGGTAGATTCTGTAGAGTTGAACCACTTGACAATTTCTTCTCTCTTGTGGACCATATTGATGAGATGTCTGTACTTGAGTTCCCTGGGTCTGCACCCCTACTGTGGCCATAAATGCGATTCACTCTCCTTGTTGGATTTTCTTATTTTATATAACAGAGGATGCAGAAAGAAGTGCTGGAACCCATAAAGGTGGGAAGGGAAAACCAGGGTAGGGGGTTCCTAAATGGAGGACTGCGGTCTGGATCTGGACCAAGCAGCGGTTCTATCCGGACCACGATTGCAGACTAGATTATGGCTGGCTGACATTGGATGCGCCATCCTAGGAGGCCGGCACATCCACAGCCAGCTATAACCCACTGCAGATCCCCATTCCTCCTCAGTTATTGGCTGTTAGGATCACAGCGTTACTAGCAACCAGTGGCGCCAGCTTTGTTCTCCGCCAGCATTAAGGGAGGACGGAAGAGTATCTGCAGCCTGAAGTCTGCCCTGCCTACCGGCTGCCTTCATCCTTACCTCCTGGCTCCTCCCATCCCCTCGAGTTCAGCTGGAGACTATTGTTACTGGACAGGTAAGAGCAGCCGGAGGTTTAGAATTGGGTCTCATTTCTGGGGACTTGCAGAGCTGTGAAAGAAATGAAGGTGAGGAGATGTCCTGTCTAAGCTGCATGTATACCTTCAGCAGGTTCTGCCTGTGTCTTCTCTTCTGTCCATCTCTCCACCAGGTCCTCCATAACAAATTAATGTAACAGCAGCATTTTAAAGAGGCACTCTAGGAACAACCAGTGTAAGGGGGCACTCTGATGGGGACAATTACTTTAACTGCCACCATCAGAGTGCCGATGAAAAGGAATCAGTTGAGGGTTTGTTGCTTTTGAAATATCTAAGACAAATAGAAAGGCAAAGACCAACTTGGCCACCAGAACCAGGCTACACTTTTGATTAGAGTTGATTTTTAATGAATCATGTTTTAAGTTCGGTTTTTAATTTTTTTTGTAGAGGAATAGTGGCCAGCATACTGGTGTTTCTATGCTTTGGTGTCACACAAGCAAAAGATGGACCATTTTCAAGACCACATCCAGGTATTTCCTTTTTGTATTATTTTTGTATTATGTATTAAATAATTTAGCACTTACAAAGTTCTGCTGCTTAAGTAATGGGCTGGACAATTTCCAAGAACCTATGTCGCATTAAAAGTGGTTGCTGGCTCCCATGTTAGATTGTTTCCTGCTTTGTATTTTAACTTGTTCAACCCTTCTTTACCACAATATTATAATCACATCAGAATACACTAAATGAAAGATCTTTCAGAGGATCATTGACAAAATATTTGTTTGGGGCCCTTCTACCCTTCCAGGATGATAGTATTAACGTACATACATTTATTTTGAAGGAGTGCTTAAAGTCGTCCTTTTTTTTTTTCCAATGTTTAACGGAAACCCCAGGAAAAAGGCCTGGACAAGATCGCTGCTTGTTTCATACAACTAATCTGATCAGATCACTTGTATAAAAATGAGCGGCGGCTCCCCACTGTACATTTAGCTCTGGTTGTCCGAAGCAGGGCTAAATGTACAGAAGATATATATTTGGATGACTTGTGTTATTAAGATGTGCAATTATATTGTAAAAATGTTGTATCTGCTAAGTACTGCCCAAATTGTGGTCAGCTTAAGAGTCTTAAGGAAAAATGAAATTATTCGAGTACTAGCATTAACAGCATCTCTAGCATGTTGTGTTTGTTGATGATGCAATTTTATGTTCTTGCTATGTGCACAACTCCATCTAGTGGCTGAAAGGGGGATTTCCATGTATAGGGAATCAAGGGATGCCATATTTTATTTATATATATATATATC